TCTTTGATCCAAACTGTAAAATACAGACAAGTATCCCTAAAATTTGCACCAAGTTGGATATAATCATTTGCAAAAGACTAAATGTCATTATCATTGGAGTGTGTTCATAGCACCTAACACCATTCACAACTCCTCAGTTCTGCCCTGACCTCTGGCTCTAACAGGATCATCAGTAGAACTGAGGCTAGGGAAGATGGTTTGGTCTCTTGCCCTAAAAAAAACAATGCTAAGGTGGCATGTCCCCTGGGAGTTAGTAACTTTGAAATTAGTAGCAAAAAGGGCCTGTGCAATATATCACCTAGGGCCCAGATACTTATTAATAAGTTGTGAATTATACAATAACTGTATTGTATACCAATAATGATACAATATAAAGCTTCTAGCTAGTTTGTACTTTTATATACTTAATAAAAGCCTTTTAAATGGGAGAAAAAAAACAATCTGGCACTGGCTAAGAAAAAAGTGGCAGGGATCAGTGGAATAATAGATTAGGTATACAATACATTGCAGTAAACAATCATAGTAACCTAGTGTTTGATAAACCCAAAGATCCAAGCTTTTGAGACAAAAACTCATTATTTGATAAAAAAAAAAACTCCTGGGAAAACTGGAAAGCAGTATGGTGGAAACTAGGTATAGAAAACTATCTTACACTGTATACCAAGATAAGGTCAAAATGGGTACACATAAAATGGCTTTACACATAAAAGGTGATACCATAAGCAAATTAGGAGAGCATGGAATAGTTTACCTGTCAAATCTATGGATAAGGTAAGAATTTAGGACTAAACAAGATATAGAAGGTGTTACGAAATATAAATGGATCATTTTGATTATTATAAAATAAGTTTTTTCACAAAACCAATTCAACCAAAATTAGAAGGAAAGCAGAAAACTGAGAAAAAAATTTTACAGCAAGTATCTCTGATAAAAGACTTATTTCTCAAATATGTAGAGAATTGAGTCAAATAAGAATACAAGTCATTCCCCAACTGAAAGTCAAAGGATATGAATAGGCAGTTTTCAGACAAAAATCAAAGTTATCTATAGTTACATGAAAAAATGCTCTAAATGCAAAATTAAAACAACTGACTTCACAACTATCAAACTGGCTAATATGACAAAAAGGAAAATGATAAATATTGGAGGGGATGTGGGAAAACTGGGATACTAATGCATTGTTGGTGGAGTAGTGTTCTGATCCAATCATTTTGGAGAGCAATTTAGAACTGCTCAAAGGGCTATACAACCCTTAGATCCAGCAGTAGTTCTGTATCCCAAAGAGATTTTTAAAGGGGGGGATGAGGAAGGGAAGGACCTATTTGTACAAAAATATTTATAGCTACTCTTTTTGTGGTAGCTAAGAATTGGAAATTAAGAGGATGCCCATCAACTGGAGAATGGCTGAAAAAAGTTGTGGTATATGATTGTAATGGAATATTATTGTGCTATAAGAAATGAAAAGCGGATGATTTCAGAAAAACCTATAAAGATTTACATGAACTGATAGAAAGTGAAGTGATCAGAACCAGAACATCATACCCAATAACAAAAATATTGTAGGATGATTGGGACAAGTAGGTGGTGCAGTGGATAGAGCACCGGCCCTGTATTCAGGAGAACCTGAGTTCAAATCCGGCCTCAGACACATAACATTTACAAGCTGTGTGACCCTGGGCAAGTCACTTAACCCCATTGCCTAACCCCCCCAAATATATATATATTATGATGAACTGTGAATGACTTAACTATTCTCAGCAATGTAATGATCCAAGACAATCCCAAAGGACTTAAGATGAAAAATACTATCTGCCTCCAGAGAGAGAATTTATGTTGTTTGAAGACAAACTGAAGCATGCTACAGTTATTCCCTCCTACTTTGCTTCTTTCCATCACAGTTTTGATATATTGCAGGTCGGCATAAGATATTAAATGGGAATTTTGGGGGGAGTTTTGCAGAAGCCACAGATGACACACAAAGGTCAGTAGATAACACAGAGCCAAGGACCAAATACTTAACCCAAATTTTACAATAAGGTTTTGTACTTGTCAAGCTGTGTTGAGCTCTGTGAACATTTTAGAGATAGCATTGACAAAGTAGAGCATTTCATCCATGATGTGAATTAAGAATCAATTGCAGCCAGCCACCATGTTCTAGATGAATATTTTATTCTTCTGACTACATATCAAGTAATAAATAGTAACTTACTTACAAGTAATAATGGCTACATTTATGTATTACTTTTAAGTGGCTTGCAAAACATTTATTTTCTACTATATTAATATAATTGTTATTATGTGTATGTGTTTGTGTGTGTACTTATTTCACTCTCATAACATAACTATGCAGTAGGGTTGAGTTAATAATACTACAAGCATTATTATCTTAATTAACAAAGGACACTGAAACTCAGAGTTTTAAGGGACTTGGCCACAGACACAAAACTTGTGTTAAAAAAGACATGGCTCATCCCCCAAAAAAAGAAACAAAAAAAACCCACTTCTCTGACAGAAACTGCTAGGGAAACTATATGGCAAAAAAATGAGAAACCAACATTTATTTCATACTGTGTACCAAGATAAGCTTTAGACATAATGACATTATAAATAATTCAGAAGAGAAAGAAAATTAACTTTAAGACTTCAGATAAAGGAAGAGTTCATGACCAAACAAGTTAGGATCAGATTATAAAGTATACAATTTTAATTATATAAAAAATACCAATCCAGCTAAAGTTAAAAGGGAAACCATTAACTGAGGAAAGGTCTTTGCAGCCAAGTTTCTCTGATAAGAGTCTCATTTCCAAGATACATAAGGAACTGAACAAATTTATAAGAATAAAATCCATTCTCCAATTCATAAATAGTCAAAAGATATGGACAGGTGGTTTTCAAAGTACTAAATTATCAACAGCCACATTAAAAAAAGCTCCAAATCACCAATAGAGAAATACAAATTAAAACTCTGATGTTTTACCTCACATCTCTCATATTAGCAAAGATGACAAAAATGGAAAATGACAAATATGAGGTTGTAAGCTAGTTGTTATGAACTGTTGGTGGAGCTGTGAATCAGCCATTCTGGAAAACAATCTGGCCCTAAATGTTATCACTAAACATACCGTTGGAATCAGCAAAAGAGAGCTCATATATACAAAGATATTTATAACAGATTTTTTTTATAGTAGAAAAGAAAACCTAGGAGATGTCCATCAATTGGGGAATAGCTGAACAAATTATATGAATGTATTAATATGCTATATGGTTAAATGGTGAAAGGGACAATTTTCAAAAATTATGACAGAGGGAAGTGAGAACTAGAACAATACTATAAACCATACAATGCTATAGAATACACTAAACATTGTAAAGACAAATAACTTTGAAAAACTTAGACCAGTCATGACTCCAGAGATAATGATGAAGCAAGATACCCACCTCCTAATAGAAGTGATAGACTACTCAAGGTGTAGAGACAGACATATGATTGGACATAGCCAATGCAAGAATTTCTAACAAGTTTTTTTGTTTTCATTTTCCTTTTTTCAATGGAAGGGGGAAAATACTTTTGTTACTAAAAAAAGAGGGGCAGCTAGGTGGCGCAGTGGATAGAGCACAGGCCCTGAAGTCAGGAAGACCTGAGTTCAAATCCAGCCTCAGATTAAACTCTTGACACTTGCTAGCTGTGTGACCCTGGGCAAATCACTTAACCCCAATTGCCAAAAAAAAAAAAAGACATTGCTCCAATTTCTCCAAGTCTGGATCTCTTTATTATTAAGGTATAATAGCTAACGTTTATATAGGTTTGCAAAGCATTTTACATATATCTCATTTTATCCTCACAACCACCCTGGGAGGTGGGTGCTATTATAAATGAGACAAGCAGGTTAAATGACTTTTCCATAATTACAGAACTTATAAGTGAAGGAGGACCTGAGTCTTCCTGATTGCAAGTCCAGCATTCAATGCATCAAGGGGCTTCAAATACTTGGAAGGGCTGACAAGTAAAAGACAGCTTTATTTTGTTTGGACCTAGATGGCAGAACTGGGATCAATCGATGATTTATTAAGCCTCTACTTTATGCTAAACTTTGGAGACACAAATACTGAAATGAGCAAAAAAACCCAACCAAATACTGAAGTGAGACAACCCTTTCCCTCAGACAGCCTACATTCTATCAATGGATGGAAATTACAGATAGTATATGTTCTCTTGCATAAAGAAAAACTGAATAAATGAGCTTCCTGGGAAGGCAGTAAGACCCATAAACGGAGTTTCAAATATATTCAGTATGACAGTTTGTCAGGAATGATGTCATCCTCTAGAATTAGGTTGCAATTCCATGACATGTTCCACTAGTACATGACATTTTAAGCCTTATTTAATGTTATGTCTTGGTCCATGCTCACAAAGGGCATAAGATAATAGCTGCCTGACAGTAGTACTATGGTAGACCCAATGAGAAAATACCAAAACCCTGGACCAAACTGGCCTCTAACCTGTGGATGGCTGGAGCCAAACAGAGCAGGCTAGAAACAGGAGAGTCAGGAATCAAACAAGTTTAATTTCAATATTTGGAAAATGACTTGCAAGCAAGGAGCCAGGCCCGCTTCTAGTTGGGGACCCACCTTAGTATGGATAAACCTTGACACTTAACCAATGGCTACAGAGTGAACTGGAGCCCTAACAATGAGGGGTAACACCAACAATGAGACAAGTTTGACGCACTGAAGGGCTTCAGGACCCCGTGCTTGTAGAACACTAGGTGCTGGTCAAAGCAATACAGTAATTGTATGATTTTGCCAGAGGGCGAATGCAAAGGATTGTTGTTATGCCAAGCTCAAGGCACAGCTTACTTGCTGGGCCTTAGCTCTGGAAAACAGGGTGTCTCCTAATATTTTGACAATCCACTAGCCCATCTGTTGGATGTAGCTCTTACGCCAGCACTCCGAGTTTAGGGTTTGATACTGAGACAAAATGAGGCACTTGAGTCATTAAGCAGTTTGAAAAAGGTTTACTTTGCCCTAACACAGCAGGAATATACAACAAAGATACTGGGGCACTTAGTTCTTCTGGCTGCATGACCATATAGAAATAAGTCTGGTCATCAAGATAGAATATAAAGAAGGACATGGTGACTTGTGTGGTTTTCAGAAATCCACCACGTCCAAGTGGCCCATCTATGTGTGACTAGAACTTTTTATGCTCTTATGTGGCTAATAAATTGTGTTAGCAAAGCTGAGGCCAATCAAGTCCAGGGTGCAACTTTGCTAATCCAATGTACAGGAGAAGGGAAGGGGTCTGGGCCATTTTGTGGGGTAGAGGGAAAGAAGGTGTCTTACCACAGAATTTCAGCAAGCAGGAAAGAGATGATGAAATAAGTGGTCATTCACAAGTTACAGCCCACAAAAGCCTTACTCTGTTACAAATGAAAATTTCAATGTGGGCAACTGAAAGAAACCAATTATATGTGGATATAATTAATGCCAAGAGATATGCAGGTCCCCTGCAGGGCGGCCACCTGCTGGATTAAAGCATCAGCGCATAGCAACCTGATGGAAAGAGCACCGGCTTTAGAACCAGATGAGTCCTAGTACTGCTACTTATTATCTGTATGAAATTATTCAAGTTGATTAATTTTTCCAGGCCTCAGATTCCTCATTTGAAAATGAAGGGGTTAACTCGATTATCTCTAAATCTATGAAGTTCATGACCACCTTAGCCAAAAGGTAAAAATTAGCTCTCCAGCATGTTCTTCTAAGGAATGTTATCAATCTTTTACAAACTGAAAGGTTGAACTACAGATATTGAGGCCCAGAGAAGGCATAGCTGTATTGCTACATAAGTTCAGTGTACTTGAAGATCACTGGTGAATAATGAAACGATCTGTGGTCATATATCAGAGTTAGAAAACAGAAAGCTACTTATTAAATATCAGATTTCTTTTATTGTCCCAAATTTTAATACCTGCCTATATGATGTATATAATGTACCCATACAAAAGAACAAAGGGCCCCTATTCAAAATGGTGCATTAAAAATAGGCCAATTCATCATTCTTGGTTTTCTTGGTTTGATAACTGGACAGAACCAATGGCTTGTTTTCATGAGGGAGACTTTCAAACACTCGAATATGTATAAATTCCTCTTCACCGACATGAACCTAAGAAGCAAAAATAAAATAAATAACAGCTGTAGATTTAAACAACATATTTTATTCTATTTAGACTGAATATTAAAAAAAGTTCACTTTATATGACTTGTATAGAGACGAGTGATGAGGGAGATGGCAAAAATCTCCAGTACCTTTGCCAAGAGGACCCCTAATGGGGTCATGAAGAGTTGGACACAACTGAATGGCTGAACAACACAGATAAAAGTGAACAAGATGTACACGATGGTAATTTACAGGTTAGTAACTGTACTGGTACTGTAGGATCAGAAATTACCCAATTTGTAATTAGAAAATTCCCAAGATTTTTCCTACTTTTTTTTTTTTGAGGAGGAGGGAGAGAGAGGGAGTTTGAAGGGAAGGGATCATTCCCACCACTCTTCCTTTTATTTCTTTGCTTCAAAGGCAAGGATTGATCTTCATATCCTGCCACAAAACTCTTCTCCATCTCCCAGGTTTTTTGCATGGGGTAGGATTAGTTTATGTCCCAGTTCTCTCTCCCTACCCCCTTCAATGCTTTTGTTGCTTTTGGTGTCTACTACTTATGGAGTATTTAATTTAGTTAATGAAACAAAAAATACCATCACCTCTGTCTGCCCCTTAAAGTTTACTAGAGTTCTCTACAAACAATTAACTAAAAAGTATTCATGAAGGCACCTAAAATAACACAGTTTCAGATTAGAGAACCACTGTACTTCTGCATGGTACCTTAATAAAGTAGTTTGTTCCAGCAACCACTTGACTTTTAAATTCCATAGTCTTAAAGACTGGAAACTTCCTATTTTCTTTCTCTTCAAGCTGTGCCTTTACCTGAGGAATAAAGAACAAAAAAGGCGTCTGAATAATTAGGACAGAAGAAAAAACACAACTCGAATCCAAGAGATAAATGTATATGATTGTTTTGATGATGACATTTAGGGCCAATTATAGTAATCATCTTAACCTTTAAGTGTAGGTGGAGTAGTCACATATCTTAAAAATAAAACTAGTAACTCTAGGAAAGAGCATTTTTTACAATTATGATTAGTGGGGGGAGAATTCCTAACCAAACAAGGAATCTATATAAAAGAGAAAACTGACAACTTTAAGTATATACAATTTAAAAAGCTTTTACACAATTAACATCAATAAAGGTCTGATATCCAAAAGTCACAGAAAATGGATAAAAATGTATTACACTAAGAGCCATTCCTCAATATATAAGCGCTCAAAGTATATGAACAAGATATTTTCAAAATAAGGCTTTGAGGCTGATCCACTACAGAGGTATTGCAGTGAACAATAAGAGTTATTACTAAAATGTAATAAGGAAGTAGTTAACAAATTTTTAAAAATATATTATGCACCCTTTAGTGGCCCCTGTTTCTATTTGAGTTTGACACCATGTTTGTTCTAAATGTAAGAGAAATGCACATCAAAACAGCTCTGAGGTTTCATTTACACTATGCAAATTAGAAATTATCTATTTTCATAAATTTTTATAAATTATCTAATAGATATTTAGAAAATATCTAACAGTCATGGTTAGAAAGGCACATTGACAGATGGGAAGTGGTTTACCTGTTTGGGATACTACTTTGTAATTATGCAAGAAAAGGGACAAAAACTTGCCTCTGACCCAGCATATATAGCAGGGAAGTCAAAGATAGCAACAAAGTCCCAATAAATACCAAAATATTGTCAAGATACTGTTAGGAGACACCCTGTTTTGCAGAGCTAAGGCCCAGCAAATAAGCTCTGCCCTGAGCTTGGCATAACAACAATCCTTTGCACTCACCTTCTAGAACTGATTTTGAGCTCAGGCAAGCACCAACATGAAGCCCTGCTATGGACACACTTTTTGTCACTAGATAACCTTGCCTCACCACTATTGCTACACCACACTGTTTGACTCTTTGTCTAGCCACAAGTAAATAAATCAAGGTTCAACACCACTACCTTGGGTCCCACCACCAGAGGTGGGGACCTGGCACATATGTCCCTGTTTGATTCCAGACTCTCCTGTCTCTAGCCTGCTCTGTTTTGTTCAGGCCACCCACAGGTTAGAGGCAGGTTCAGTCCGTAGACATAGCAGAATTCTTTGCAAAGAGCTAGAAAAGAAGTGCATGCCCATCAACTGAGGTATGGCAGAAAAAATGATGGCATGTGGATTATAGAATATGAAATGACAAAGAATCCAGAGAAACATGGCAAGACATATATGAACTGATGAGGAGTGAAATAAACTAAAAGAACAATATACATAATGACTACAACAATTAAGTGAAAAAAAATCTTTACAAAGAAATTGAATTCAAAGTAATAGGAAAAAACAAAGAAAAGAAGGTCCCAAAGAATATAGCTTTTTTCCTCATGACAGAAATGAAGGGAACTACTAAAACAGATTTTTGTGTATACAGTGAGATACAGTCATTATGCTTTTGCTTGTTTTTCTTTGCCACAAGGGAGTGGAGGTGGAAAATGACTGTGATGTAAAGACCAAAGGAAGCAACAAAATATACTTTAAAAAAGAAAACAACATTGATACCAATGATGTTTTCTCCTAGTGGTGAGAGAAGAGAAAAAAAAGACTTTGAATAAGTTTTATTTTACAGAAGTTGTGTGGTTATTCCCTGTAATCTAGTTATCATAAGATCTAGTCATTACTAATACTTCCCATAAAAACCAGAAATAGTTTGGAAACTTCTGGCTTAAAAAAAAAAAGACAAGATGAGTCAAGATGAGTAGCCTCTCATTTCGCTAGTTAAATGCCACAACTTTAAAATGATTACTTCCTTCTTCCCTCACAGAACCTTACCTTGCAAGAAACAAGTACACCACGTCCCAAAACTTAGTGCAGTTTTAAGTTTTAATAAAGCTACAAACTTCCAAAAACATTTGAAAGGTTAAATTTTTAAATATTAATTTTCTTATCAAAATTCAAGGGTTATATATAACCCTATAATCCTATACATTGTGTTATTTATATATATATATACATACATACATATATACATCACCCTAGATTTTTGAACTTTGTAAAAACTTTAATCATCTGCTGCTCATTAATCCTCATTAAGGATTGCATTTGTCACTTTAGTCTCATAAAGACTTCCCCCAACAAGGTTTTGATTCGAACATACAAGAAACAGCCTAACAGGGATAGATTAGATTCATCGGTCTAAGAAAGTGAAATCCAAAAAACGTCGCACACACAATGCATAACCGGATGCCCGCAAAAATTAATGAAAATAAATTTAAATTATTAAGCATTCAAATGATGCTTTTTGTAAGTCTGAAGCACTTACACTTAAGTTATCAAAGCTTAAACTGCCCTGAGACTTGTGGGACACCCTATTTTGCGGGACTTTTTGATTACCAGCCTGGAGGACGCTAATTCAGGAGTCACTTCCAGGTCTAAATCTGAGTCCTAGGTGTGGTTCGCTAGTTAAGGTGTTGCTGGAAGTTTCATTTCTCGTTTTGGGATTCCCGGTGTCGCACACAGTAGGCGCCTAGTGAACAATGAGTTGGGCTCTTTCTGGTCCCTATCCACTGGAGGGGTCTCAGAGTCAGAGACGGAAGAGACCCCGGCGGAGCCTTCCCCATCCGAAAAGCTCCCACGGACCGGAGGAGAAGGCGTGGCAGCGCGGGGCAGGCGGGAGGCAGCCCGGTGCCTCCGGGGCAGCCGGGCCCCACGGCCTCCCGCCGCAGCTCTTACCTGGTCGGCGATCCGCTGCGTCTCGGCTGTGGCCGGTTTGGTGGCCGACACTCCTCCGCACATCATCCTTGCAAGTCCAGCTGCAGAGACTCAGTGAGGGGCGGAGGGGTGGACAGAGTGACAACATCTGGGAGGGGACGCAGTCACGAGCCCCGTCCCGCCACGTGACCCGCCGGGTCCATTGCCTTCGGGGGGGGGAGGTTGTCACAGCTGCAGAGAAGAATCGAGAAGCTCCATGAGAAGCTCCCAGGGCCAGGAAAGAGGGAGAAGCAGCCGAGGCAGGAATTAACCTGGCTGCGTGCTGTGTGTCCACCCGAAGGGGAGGCGTCATCTCTTCCCGCGGGGCCTCCCCCCCAAAACTTCAGCCGTTGGTTTCGCCCGCTGCCTCGCAGTCACGAGGAAGCGTGAGGAAGTCGCTGGTTCCATTTGTTCTGGTTTGGTCTTTGGAAGTGCTTTTGGGAAAGTTCCTGTAAACTGGGCTTCTTGGACGGCTTGCTTACATTCCTGTGGAGCCACCGAGGTTTACAAAGCGCTTCCGATCTCTCTGGGAGAAGGTGGTGGGAGCACCTTTACCTGCGAGGGAAGCTGAAGTTGTGAAGAGTCTCGAGGGGGGGACCCGGACACGAAGCCCCTGACCTGGAATCCCTCCGGGACCCTTCCTCCCACTGACCCCGAATTAATTAGTTGGTTTTAAGGAACAATGTGTGCACCGGGGTTCGCACCGGAGGGGCCGTCCCGGGGCAGCCTCCGCCCGCGGCCCACCCTGAGCGCCCCAGGAGCTCCTGAGGGGCTGGGGCGCTCCCCTGCCTCGTCTCAGCCTCCCTCATTTGCAGTCCCCCTTGGCTAGTAGGAGAACAAAGGGCCCCACCCTGCCTGGCCGCCCTCCCTCAGGACGCTGACCTGCTTTGCTTCTCTGTGCTTGGGAGGGGTCAAACGCGCCCCCGTGCTGGGGGAACCTCATTATATAGTGGGGAAATATTTAACCAATAACAATACGATAAAACATAGGTGACAATACATTTGAAAACTAAGTTAAGTCACAGGCCTAAGGAATTGACAGTTTGCCCAATCACTCCAGAATTACTAACTTCCCTGGTCTTGCAAGGTTCCGCCATCTCTCCAGTTCCAAAAAGCAGCATCGTGGACTCCTCACTCTCCCTCGTTCCAAATATCCTAAACTCCTAATCCTAACATTTTCATGGACTCAGTTTCACCCCAAATAACCAAATCAAACATTCCCCTCTATATCTTCATAGCATTTCTTGTTTTGGACCCTTTGTTGTTACTCAGAGCTACCAGTTTAGTTCTAGGCCTTATCACTTCTCACCTAGATTATTCTATTAACCTCTTAATTGGTCTTCCTGCCTCCAGTTTCTCACCACTGCCTCCTATGCTCCAAAGTAATTTTAATTAAGTGCAAATTTGACCGTGTGACTCCCTTACACCACTGTGTCATTTTTCAGTCATGTCCAACTGTCAATGTCCCCATTTGGGGTTTTTTTGGGAGAGATACTAGAGTGGTTTGCTATTTCCTTCACCTTATTTTACAGATGAGGAGCTAAGGCAAACAGAGTTATGTGACTTGCCCAAGGTCATACAACTAGTAAGTGTCTGAAGTCAATCATATCTGAACTCAGCAACATAAGTCTGATTCTAAACCCAGTGATCAATCCACTATGCCACCTACCTGCCCCACCTACTTGTTGAATGATTCATTTATAATCCTGCTGTATCCTGGTGTGAAAAGTTACCCAAATGGGCTCCATGCTTAAACCTTGCTTGATCTTTGGCTATGTGTATAACCAGCCTGCAGGAAATGGTAGTCTGGAAATACTCTTGTGCAAGTGTACTTAGATAAGTGGAAAAACTGAGATGACATAAAACCTATTTCCTCTTAATAGTGTTGTCATTTGGTCATGTGTAACTGATTCTTCCTGACTCAGTGAACTTGTCTGTGGAATTTTCCTGGCAAAGATAGTGGAGTGGTTTGCCATTTCCTTCTCCAGTGTGTCCCCATTTTACAGATGAGGAACTGAGGAAAATAGGGAAGTGACTTGCCCAGGGTTACACAGCTAATGAGTGTCTGAGGTCAAATTTGAACTCAGATCTTCTTGACTCCAGGCACAGTTCTCTAGCCAATGTACCTAGTTGCCCCCAGCCTCTAGAAACTATTATCTCACCCCTTTGAGCAGCTGAAGAACTTTCTCCCATACAAGCCCTTTTTCAGACCATAAATACATTAAACTGGGCTTGGGGGTCATTTGACTTTTTTTTTTACATTTGCAAAAAAAAAACCCAAAAACCCTTCATCTTGCCATAAACACATCTTTAAAAAGGATTTCTCTTAGATCTCATCATACTAGCCAAAGGCAAAATTAGCTTAATGAAATGTACATAAGGAAATAATTGCCTGGAACTTGTCATTTACTTCCCCATTTACAAAATAATTTGAAAATTTGTGACAATGATGCGGTAGAAAAGAGTGCTTGAGGCAGATGGAGCAAGCAGGACTCTAGATAGGAGATAAGATGCAGGAAAAGAGATCAAAGAAGACTATACATTGAAGCCTTAACTGTGTGCTTTCACAAAGCACCCTCAATTCCAAAACAACTCTTCCCTCCCCAGTCATTTTGGAGCTATGCTTGCTACTCCTATTCTCTTGTCCCCTTCCCACTATTCTGTAAAATTGTATTTAAACCATATCTTTGACGTAGCTAACTGCCTTTGCCTCCTACAGGAAGCAGAGGCAGCTCTGCTCCCTTAGGGGAGCAGGGCCTGTGGCCTATGCTCTGCCTCCCACGTGGAGGACAGCCCACTGGGGCTCTGCCTCACAGGGAGCAGGCCCACTTGTATACAACACCCCAATAAATGCCTTTCTTTAGGAGACTGTCACAGTGAATTCTTTCAGGACACTAGGACCTGAACATCTATTCCTCATCATTTCAGGTAGCACCCCAACATTCTTGGGGTCCACCCTGAACTCATCACTAATGGCTACAGAGAAGGTCTAAGTGAGTTCTTTCACACCTGAACCAACTCTAACCTCAACAAGAAATCAAAATATTCTATGACATTTACATATTTTCATTTAATACTTCAAAATTTTCTATCAAATTTTTCACTTCTATAACAATTATATTGTTTTGATAGGCAGGGTATATAATTGCCTTGAAATTATATTTTATGATTTACAAAATGAGCATCTTCATTTTCTTGTCATTTGTTAACACTGCTTAGTGGTACCAGGTCTCAAAATATACTACAAAGTGGAAACCAAAATAATCTGGTACAAGCTAAGAGTGATTGATCAGTGGAATAGATTGGGCACACAGTATTGAAAACTGTCAATACATTGACCACAATATATTCACCACAGTAACTTAGTGTTTGATAAATCCAAAGATCCAAGCTAATAGGGCATGAACTCACTATTCAACAAAAATTTCTGAGAAAATTAGAAAATAGGCAGAAAAAAGGCTTAGATCAATATCTTACACCATATACCAAGATAATGTCAAAATGGGCACATGCTTTAGAAATAAAATGTGATATCATAAAGAAATTACAGATGAAAAAAATTACCTGTCAGATCTCTGAATAAGAGAAGAGTTTATAACCATACAAGAGATAGAGAGTATCATGTGAGGTAAATTAGATAATTTTGCTTATATAAAAGTAAAGAGTTGTTGTACAAATAAAACCAATGCAGTCAAAATGAGGAGGAAAGTACCTGGTTTAGGTTCCAGGCCATCAGGGAGAGCTAAAGGTTGCAGTCTTCAGGAAGCAAGAGTGTCTGCAGCACAGCATGGCTGGGGACCCTAGTCTTGGCTTGGTGGGGCAGAGGAGTGCCTGAGGTTGGGCCCCTGACAGAACTCAGAAAATAACAGAAAGACCTGAGGCCAGGCGCAGCATTCCCCACACCCAGGGACTAGAGTTGATTATAATAATAAGCTACTAAAAATAAAATAAAAATGAGTAAGCAAAGGAGAAAGAACCCATAGACAGCCACTATGGGGATAGAGATGATCTGGGTTCATATTCAGAGAATGATAGTGAAGTAAAAAAAGCCACTCCTACCCCAAAAAGCAATGTCAAATGGTCACAAGTCTAAAAAGAGTTCTTGGAAGAACTTAAAAAAGGACTTCAAAAATCAAATAAGAGAGATTAAGGAAAAATTAGGAAGAAAAATAAGGGTAATGCAGTAAAATCAAGAAAATTATGAAAAGAAAGTTAACCAACTAGAAAAAGAGATCCAAAATCTTAAGAAAAAAACAACACCTTGAAAACTAGAATTGTAACAAAAATCATATGATTATGTCAATAGATGCAGAAAAAGCATTTGATAAAGTATGACACACTTCTATTAAAAACACTTGAAAGTTTAGGTATAAAGGGACTTTTCCTTAAATTGATAAGAAGCATTTACCTAAAACCATCAGCAAGTATTATTTGTATTGGGGATAAGCTAGAAGCCTTTCCAGTAAGCTCCAGTGTGAAACAAGGATGCCCACTGTCACCAGTATCATTCAATGTTGTATTGGAAATCCTAGTAATAGCAATAAGAGAAGAAAAGGAAACAGAAGGAATCATAATGGGCAATGAGATAATAAAACTATCTTTTTTGTAGATATGATGATATACTTGGAAAATCTTAAAGACTCAACTAAAAAGTTAATTGAAATCATTAATAATTTTAGCAAAGTATCAGGATATAAAGTAAACCCACATAAATCTTCAGCATTCCCACATATCACCAACAGGATTCTGCAGAAAGAGACAGGTTAGAGATACCCTATTTAAAATAACACTAGACAGTATGAAATACCTGGGAGTACATCTGCCAAAACAAACCCAGGAATTATGTGAAGAAAATCATAAAAAAACTTTTTATATAAATAGAATCAGATTTAAATAGAAAAATATTAGTTGTTCATGGGTGGGCAGAGCCAATATAATAAAAATGACAATTTTACCAAAATTAATCTATATATTCAATATCATCCCAATTAATGTTAATTATGATTGCTAACTGTATTTCCCTCCATCTTATTTTCTTTCTCTCTTTTCCTTCTTTCTCTCTTTTTATCCTATCCCTATTGCCTCTTTTAATCCACCCTCCCTTGTATCATGCCCCCCAATATCTT